ATTCTTATAACTGAGGGTTTATTTATCCAGCCAGTTGGTGTGAGTTCCTATTTTTAAAAAAAGTAGATTGTTTTTCTGTTGTGGTTTACAAATAAGAATGTTCATACATTAGCAGAAAGCGTTCTCCTGGAACTCCGTCCGTTCTTTCCCTAAAACAGACATTTACCTTTTAAAATGCTATACTAACATTCCTTTCCCTTTCACGATAAATCAGACTATTCAGGTCTGATTGAATAAACCGTAATATATTAGTATGTTGTGTTTACAAATAAACGTTTGATAATCTAAATCCACCCAAATACGCTATATATGTACGTGTTTGCGTGTTGACTTTCGCATAGCAATAGTCTGCATTTGAATGGAATAGATTGGGGGGAGGGGACATGTCCAAACATACCTTATATTAAAATAGCTTTTTCCCCATAAAAGACTGGTTGTCATAGTTCTGATGAAAATTAATTGAAATAAGCCAGCCTTTCAATCTAAAGCAACCGATTCGCTGCTCAGAGCTTCCACACACAATCTCTCAAAGAAGAGACAACCTCAAATGGTGCCATTGATTTAGCCGGATATATTTCAAAAAGAGGGGAACCACATTCTTAAATGTGCTTAAAAATAAATGATACAACCTTAGACTTCCCCCAGCCACATACATCTCGGAACATCCGGTGGCGGCCCATCTTATAAAGTTTTAACTGTAATCACTTGTATCTTGTATGTGTTTAAACTTTGAAAAGTTGCTTGCAAAGAGGTATGTCTATTACAGCTACAAAATGCTGCAAGCAGTCTAACCTCCTAAAGTAGAGATGTGCATAATATTTAAGTATGGCTAGAATTATTAAATTGGGATCCGTAGCATGCTGGCAGCTTTGTGCCTGATTTCCAAATAAGTCATATTTTCGAAAAGGTTGATTGAAATGCAAACACGTGTCATGTTTTTCCATTTCTTAATGCCAAATTACGCCCAACGAACAGATAGAGTTTGATTTGTCATTTGTGTTTAGGTGATGCAGATCTGGAAAAGTAAACAGGAGCCTAAGTCACTTGATTTGTTTTCTGTAAGCAAATAACACCCAAAAGCATGGCTGTAATTTACAACGAATTAAAATTGATTCTTTTCATCAGGCAAGAAAATAGGGAAATGTGAGATCGTTAATTATTGAGGGAGGCGCTCCTTATTAAAGGGAGCAATGTTACAATTCAGCATTTAATAGCAGGAATGTGAATAATAATATCCTATATTTCAGCACTACTGTCTGGAAATACCAAAAAGCAGCACAAACAAGTCAGGCAACCCCAAGTTAGATTTGATAAACGTTTAGAGTGTCTGCTAAGTGTAAAAAGCAATTACAGCGCTTTGCATATAGCAGTCCCTTAGCTGCATATTTCTGACAACGGATGCTCAATAAATGTATACATCAAATATCAACTTGAAAACCCTAAACATAAGCAGCTATGGAGTTCAATCCATCTTCCTGACTTTAGACGTTTAACCTTATTTTATGTTAGTTCTTGCACAAAATAATACTATTCCGACGAAAGAATGAAGGTAGATTCCGTTCCTAAATAATAGCAAATTTGGGGGTGAATACACTTGTTTATGTGATAGCCTCATTCAATCAGTACTTGGATACAGTTTAAAACAGCCCTGAGGCTTGTAACGTTCTGTACCTTTTCCCAGGGTCAGAACGTGAGGGAATTGGGTTTATTTCGATTTTAAACACTAAAGACCTCGATCCTGCAATCCTTACTCAGGCAAACCTCCCAGTGCAGCCAGTGGAGGTTTTGCCTGAGCAACGACAGCACGATCAGGTCCTCTCTGAGCTTTGTTAAAAAGAGGAAAAGGAAGAAATGGGGGGGAAAATTCCATGTGCCTAGCCCCTTGGCAGGCACTCTTGTACAAAATTCAATCTCTATTTTTATGAGAAGTAAACTGTCTAAATAAATTTTATTAGGGGCAACCAATATATTTTCTGGTAGTTCCCTTTGTTCCAGTTCTACGTGTGTGTAACAATCTAAAACCTATTTATTGAAGAAAAATCACTGGATCCGTCATAGAAAATCCTTTTACTTTGCTCTGAAGTGATTTCTGAAGACACTCTTGTCATTCTGAAGATTTTGGGGCCATTGTGCTAAGCCTTTCCTTGTTAGGAACTTCGGTTCCTATGATCATGTGGGAAATACCTTAAATTATAAAAGGAATGGACTTGACTGACACTTTTCTGGCTACCCTAGGAAAATGGAACGATGACGGGGAATAAAATCTTTGTAAATACATCTCAAACACTGCCCAGGTGGATTCACACACTTGACAAAACAAGTGTATAGAGGAGCGGAATGTGATTATAGTGTTTTACATATCTACTATTGTCATTTTCTTTCTGACATGCTTAGTGTCAGTCCTGGTCTCTTTTTTCCCTTCTACAGATTTCCTTTTCTTATCCCCCCCCCCCAACGATTATACTTTGAAGCCTTGGTAGAAATGATTTAGTTTGTTTATACTGCTATAAAAATCAAGAGCAATAGAAAAGTCATAAAATGAAGCGCGCTATCAATCACGGTGCAACATTGTTATTCAGCGGTTACTAAGAGAGATTGATAATCCTTTGATTTCCTCCCATTGTTATTACTCTGATGTGTCTTCACATTAACTATTACACATTTATTTATCGACCTGAAACATACAACAACACGGAGGATATCTCAGTGTGGGACTATCTAGCACGTATGCTATAGAGGCAGGATGCACACACTTGCAGGATCTGGATATTATGCCACCTCAGTGTACCATGTAGCTAACAAACAAAACAGGACTTGAATATTGTAACTTCAAAACGGCTCGTATTAGTGCCCGGTTTTCCAATCATTTCCCTATTCAGCTCAAAGACATCACAGGCATTGCTTAGCAGCCCTCACTCCACACACACCCACAGCCCTCAAGACCATTAAAACCCATCAGTCCAGCCAGACCGCCTGGCCCGTCTGGGGTTCACTGCGTAAAAACACACCGACACCCGTACAAATAACACCCCATCATCCAGCCAGCCAGGGCTCTAGGGCTCTTGCAGCCAAGCAGCCTCCTCCCCAGGGGCGGGCTGTCTCCTTTGGCATGTCTGCGACTGCAGGTCCCTTCTCACTTTGCTTCGGTTCTCGTCGCGCTACTTGTTACAACGTGGGGTTGCTTGGGGGAGGGGGGTTGCTCCCAGGGTTTTCACCCCAGACGGGGGCCCTTTTTTTCGCTGGCGTAAAAATAAAATAGATTTAAAAGCAAAATTAAAAACAAACAAACAAACTAACCAACCACACACCGCGATTTGCTCTCCCACTAAAGTGGGGCCCGGCTCTGTCTCTGAGCCAAGCTATTCCTGTGGTGCTGTGCAGGGACCGAGATGCACCCAAGAGCCGGCCGTCTCTACAGCTGAATTGAATCAATGTAACCAAGGATCTGAACAGGGGAGAAAAGGGAACAAAACTGCCCTACATCGCGGTCGGCCGCTTCCTTTGTCTCCTTGTTCAGTCACTGCCGAAACCCACCACATCTGAGCTGCAAACAAAATCACTCTTGCATCTGCTCGCATGCAGCATTTACAATGTTTTGTGTAAGTCAATTGGGTGGCGAACAAAAAAAGCCATTTGCGCTGTATTATTTAACACAGACTTCACTGGGCTCTCTTTTTGTGGAAGCTTTATTTGCACTAAATGAATAATCTTAATTGCATCACTATTGAATTAAAAATCAATGTTAATCAAGTTGGAAGTAGTAAATATCAGTTTTCATTGTGCCTGGGTAGAGGGTATTTTTCTTGTTTTGCAAATAAAAATGCAAGTCAAATAACTTTAAAAGGGCATTATGTTCTGCTACAAATACAATTGAAACGGATTGTTTAGGAGCGGATCAGAAATGGTACAGAATTTTGCACTTAATTTCCTCAGTTATCATTTACAATAAGAACCTCTTGGCTTGACAGCCAAGTCTAAACAGTAGTAAATTAGTACAAATTTATACTGATTTTACTCTAATAATCGTAATAAAAGCTTATAGATTTGGCACTAATTACATAAATGCCTAATGATCTTGAAAATTACTCTGGTTAGAAATATATTACTAATCTAAACTTTGTTGTTGGCTGGCTTTGAAAAATCAGAACATTAGAAATGGTTCGCTTCACTTGTGCAAAGCACTTTAAATTGTTCAAGTAGTTTAGCATAGTCAAGAGGAAAATAAAAAGCATTTAACTTTATTTACCGCCTTAAACTGAGTTTGTGGCCAAGCTTAGAAACTTTAACCCAAAATGTTGAAGGGCTTTTCAATCTCAGTGCAATGTTTTCTCTTTCACACAAACATTTAGCCCTGGCGAGAAGCGCCTCCAGATCACCTTTGGGGGATGGGCGGACGGGACATGGGAGAGCAAAACAGAGCGTGTGTAAGTTTCACTAGGAACTCGGATCACTTTATTCCTCGTTGTCTTTCAGCCCTCAAGAATGGCGGGAATAAACGATTTACGCTGTATTACAAATGATTAACTGGAGTTCTCCCACTACCCGCCACTGCCCCGCAATGATACTGAAACTCACAGCCGAGCTGCAGCGTGAAAGTTAACACACAAAGCAGAAGCCAACCCCAAACCGGGAGTGAGGAAACCCCCTGGTCCGGGACAGCCTGCTAGCCAGGCTCCCAAGCGGGGCCGTGCACGCTCCTTAGGCACAACCCTGCATTGTGCTTGGGTTGGAAGGCGCCGCGAGACACCAGCTCAGGCCTTCGCACAGGGGCAGATCTGAGCCGGGGCAGCGGTAAAGTCGCTCTGGCCAGGAGAAGGAACAGAATTACAAACGGGCGGCGGGAGAAAAACAAGCGAGCGAGGGAGACACAGCGAGAAAGCCCAGCCCGACAGCCCCGGGCTGCGGCTGCTGCTGCTGCCGCCTGGGGGGATGCGGGGCTGCTGGTGCTGAGGCTGCAGGCGGGCGGGCGGGCGGGCGGAGTGGGGACTCGCCGGGCTCGCTGACATTTGCAGCCTGCCCTCCTGATTGGTCCCTTCGCCGAGCTGCTCACGGGTTCATTGAAGTGTTAAGCACCTCCCCGTCTCTCTAAAGGACATTATAATGCAAGAGACCCCCTTTTTAACCACACACCGAATTTTCTTTCATTTAGGCGATCTATATATATCTATATCTTATATCTATTTTAAATAACTTAAAACCGCTAAAATTTGGGGGGGAACAGCCTTCGCCCTGGAGCGGTGCGCGATGCTGTCTCACGCCGACCTCCTGGACGCCCGACTCGGTGAGTTTCGCCCCCCCCCCAGCATCTTTCTCGCCCCCCGGCAGCCGCGAAGGAAGAAGCCAGAGCAGGAAATTGACAATTTGTTCCTTGTTTTACCTTAATGCGCTCTAAATGGGCTAATTTCTTTAAAAGTAATTGTGCTGTATTAAAGTTTAATTTGATTTAACAGCGTCTTTTAGGAAAAAAAAAGTCTCTGGGATATGTAGATCCAGCCCCAATTGTGGACATGTCGTGTCTCTTTCCCGCCCCAGGTCTCCCCCTTTTAGGGCAGATTATCCCAATCTTTGTGATTTTGAGGTTTTTATTAATTTTAATTTAAAACGGGACAAAATCGGATTGAGTTGGTCCAGATCTGTCAGGGAGGCGAAGCCACCTGCGAGGAGGCTGGTTGGGTTTGTCAGCCGCGCCGGCAAACATAATACCCTCCCGCCCCCCAGTTCCTGGGGAGGCCCCGCCGGGTCAGGCCCCACAGATCGGCCCGAACCGTCGATTGGCGCAGGAGGAAGCGCTGGAAAGTTTCCTGCCTGCTGAAGTTGAGTGTGTGAGGCGGCGCGCGAGGGCCGGGGTAGCCGGCCTAGGGCTGTGGTGGTGGGCGAACGAAGGGGGCTGCGGGGGCTCCATGGCTGGGGTTCGCCCCTTAGCAAACTTGGTGCGCCGGCCGCTGGCGCTGCTGGATACAAGTGGGGGCCGCCTACCTGGCTGCAGAGGAGTGACCGCAGCTGCTTTGCCTCCGCAGGAATGAAAGATGCAGCCGAGCTGCTGGGACACCGGGAGGCGGTGAAGTGCCGGCTGGGCGTAGGGGGCTCTGACCCGGGAGGGCACCCGGGAGACATGGCTCCCAACTCGGACACGGTGGAAGGGGCCACCCTCCTGCCCGGGGAGGACATCACCACGGTGGGCTCCAACCCGGCCTCCTTGGCAGTCAGCGCCAAAGACCCCGACAAGCAGCAGGGGCAGCCGGGCGGGCAGAACCCCAATCAAACGGGACAGCAGCAGGGGCAGCAGAAACAGAAACGGCACCGGACCCGCTTCACCCCGGCGCAGCTTAACGAGCTGGAAAGGAGCTTCGCCAAGACCCATTACCCAGACATCTTCATGAGGGAAGAGCTGGCCCTGAGGATCGGCCTCACCGAGTCCCGGGTCCAGGTATGAGCAGTTGCTTCCGTACCCAAACCTCCCGGATCCCTCAGTCACCCACCCCCCGAGCGTCCTGCACTCACTACCTGTAACCACCACACCTCACAGGGCTCCTGCCCCTCAGCTCTCTTTTGTGTTCACATCCCTCCTTCAGGCTTTCCCTTGTGGGCTTAACAGAGAACAGGCTGGGTTGTAATTTCCTGATCATACCGTCTAGAGAGACAGCTCAAATGATCACCGCCTAATCCATAACATAAATAATAATAAACCCACCCAGAGCCAGCGCTTGGTGACCAGCCTTTTACAAAATATGCCTAACAAAATTACATTTGAAGCCGCCAGGAATTTTTTAAACACCCATCTGGTGTAAGAAAGGGATTATCGGAATCAATGTGAATGCAACAGTTGAATATCAGCTATTAAACAGCCCACATATTTCTGCACAAATGACTGAGCCAATCCCCGTTAGGGAGAAAAAAAATCATTAGCAGTGTAGTGCGTGGCATAGTTCTGCGTAGTAAAATGGGATGTTTTCTGAGCTGATTGTGAACACCCTCACTCTTTACAATTGATCTCTGAACGAACGATCGATCGATCGATCGATCAGAAAGAGACCCCAAAACAAACAAAATCAACGACAGATCAAGTATTTGCTGTAACTAGCTTTCTGTTTAATTTTTAATACTCGTAGTTGAGCTTCCTGTTTACTAATGAACATGTGAAATATTACCAGCGAGCTAAAATAATTTCAAAGTGTAATGTAAATCTGAAGTGGCGTTTTCTTGGATTTGGGGGAAATGTTGAATTCCAGTGGAAAGCGGCATTGAACACTAGGAAAGCGATTGCAAATTCAGAGACTGTTCAATTACTCACATGTTTGTGTCTCCTGAAATGTTTACAATAAGCGTATGCTCCTAATATGTTCCTGCTTCTTTTATCATTGTTAGCACTGAATTGGTTGAACTCTGAATCTAATTTAGTAGTGTAAGCTGTCCAAGGTCCTGAAGATCTCCCATTGAAATCTGCGGCAATGTTTTCCCTTTATGCCAGATTGCCTGAAATATTTTATAGCTCAAAAACCCTTCTATACATATGAATCGAATTTTAGCAGTATGTTACATTTTTAATTGTTTGTTAAAAAGGAATTTCTGTGAGCACAACATTTTGAGTTTAAGTTTCTTTAATACTTGCTTTAAAATACGGTGTAATCACTGAAGACAGCAGTAGAACTAAGTATATCAAGAAGATTGTCTTCACGTTATTTTATTATATATATTTTTGACATACAGCAAACAGTTTATTCAAATAATTTTAGGCAGAAATTAAAAGTAGGCGAGAGGGATAAAAACAAAAGACTATAACAAATAACGTTTTTAAACCTAAACTTTTGTTCTGGGAAATTTTGTGTGAGATTCTTAGACGAATTACGAACATTGAAAAATGCTTTAACGATATGTGGTCTGGTGATACTATGAACGCATTTTCATTTTAACATTGTTCCTCTCCAAAAATTCTCACGGTAAGCCAAGTCCTCATGCACCAAAAAAATAAAAATAAAAATAAAAAATAAAAAAATAAAAAAAAGAAATACAAAAGATATTTAAAAATCTAAATGAACGTTTCATAACCAGAAACTGATTGTGTTCGTTTAACAGAACACACACACACATTTGTTTTAAAAAGTAAAACAATTGTATAAAACCGACACATGATGATAATTAGTTTAAATTAAAATAGAAATTAGATTCACAAATAAAATATAACTGGACAACTGCCTTTATGAAAAAAGAAAACGTGGACGATTAAACTTTATTGGGTTTCCCAAAGGTTAATGATACCAATTTCAATATTAGGAGTGTGGTAAATGAAGTAAAATATAAAATATATAATGGAAATAGTTATTTTCCAAAAGCACATCAAAGAAATACGTCGGAAGAAAGATAACGTGTTTTAATGGCCTCAGCATAATCCTGAACCAACGATAATAGCACGAGACTGCTGATAAAAACAGTTTAATAGAGTGGCAATTTAAATATTTTTTGCAATAATGTTCTGCAGTTTAAAAAGTAATCAGATCAACATAACCTTCTTAATTAACACTTCAAAATGATTAACATGTAATGTAATGCAAAAATAATTTATGTAAAATGTATTTACTTCACAATTCACTGTATCATTGCTCCTTGACCAAATTTAAATTAAATAGTAATTGGTTTATGTTCTTATATGAGTACTTCATAGTATTCTTTATAGTTAACAGATTGCCTACACATTCCTTGCAGTATGTGGGGCACCACACTGACTAAGAAATGATCTAAACAGTTAATTTATAGCGGCTGTATGTATTTTATATGTTTTAAATGCTAGAATAAATTACCTCTTTCCTCATTTTAGAGCTATATTTAATGTATATTATACATCTAAATAATTATTAAAGGACTAGTGCTTATAAGGGAACCCAATTCCATGTCTGATATCGCTCTGCTTTTCAGGCTTGTGTAATAAAACCATTTTTTTATAGCATGCCATTATTAGAAACCAATTTCAGAATTATTTATAACCTGGAATGGCTTATTAACCAGCAATGCGAGAATCATGCAAATTACGCGATCAAATGCAATATAATAAGCATAATCATTAGTCTCTAGCATGGATTAATTAACTTTCAATATTTTATTTACATAAAAACCAAATCAGTGAAATAACTTCTGCACAGTCAGCCTTGCCTTTCAATATTTTATACGAACAAAAATAATGTGCTGTAATTCCATTGACCGTATCCTCCACAATGGTCCTGTCACCTGCCACATCTTAATAGAGGACAAGCTGAGAGTATTTTCTAGTTTTCTAATGGAATGAGAAATTGCATTTTCTTCCTCTCCCAGCACTATTAAAGTGTAATGAATTCGGCCCAGAGTTCACGGCTGGCTGATCGAAATGAACCTGAGATCTGAGCTTTAATACAGCTCTCCAGATTTCCTACCAAATCTTCACATTAATCATCCGCTAGATTCCAATGAGATCTTCATAAAGGTTTGGCTCTTGAAAAAAAAAAGTAATATTCTCTCCTCTTCTCTCTCTATTTCTAACACATTTATTGCTGGGGAATTAAACGGACTATATATTTTAAAATACATTTACAGTATGTCTATATTACTGTAACAGCAGATATCAAAGTAGATTTTTAGCTTCCAACCTCCATTAGATTCTCACTGTTGTATTAATAATTTTCAGGGGCTAGTTGCATTTTAAACATACTCCAGAGTTGCCCAATGCCTGTGGTTAATATATTTCCAGAGTTGTCATGTGTGCATTTTCAAAATCTCCCTCAGGTTTTCTCCACGTTTTAATCTGTCATGCACTAGTTTTCAACTGGAAACATTCACATTTTAAAAGCATATGCACTATAGCTATGAACTGAGGCGATCAGACCTGATGGAGATTCTTTACAACACCAGTAAACCATGAAACATAAAAAGATTTTGTAGCCGCAATTTAACTATTAACCCTAAAACATAATTGAACACGATTTTTCGATTATTCATATAACATTTAGGTCCTTAACAGCTGTTCATTTCCGTTAATGGCCGACCATATTTCTCAGTCTAAGTATATAATATTAAACGATAAACTCCAGCAGGTTCTAGGATCCAGAATAGTAATAATCGGGAATTCAGAGTGGATTCGCTGATTTCCCCTCTTACACATCCCAGTATTTTCCTTTGACAATGCAATGAAACCTATCAGTCTATTCACTCCAATATTATCACTTTGAATCAAAGAATCTGGTTACTAAAAACATCTGACTCAAAAAAAAATCCAACAAACAACAGCACGCAGGTCGGGTTTGAGTGCTGCTTGCTAATGGTGCAGCCACCAAGCGTCAGTGGTGAACAATTCGGAGTTAACGTAAGAAAATTATGTTCCAATCACATAGACGCTTTTATAAGAATTCAGACGCTACCTCAAGCAGGGTCAGGAACACAGGACCGATGCTTCCTTATTTATTTATTTTTTAGCCCGGCGTATTTTACACAAATTCGCCTCGTTATGAGTGAAGGTGGCTGCAGACAGCTCAATCCTGGGACAGAGACATTGATCCCTTTCATTATATAAATTCCTGCAGCTTTATTAATCAGTCACACGGCAACTTGCGGGGCTACAGCGGAGCTGTACACAGAGCACAACACCAGGAGAGACAATGCAAGGGGATAAAGGCTAGGGAGGGAGACAATAAAAACCATGTCAGGTGGGGAAGGGAGCGGAGAGAGACTTGGGGAGGGACGAGGGAGTAAACCTAGTGCTCTAAATAGCCTTCTTGTAAAAGAATCGCCTATGTGCTATTTCAATGGAATTGAAATCTATATTACAAAACCATTCCGAATAGTTCAATTGTAGTGCATGTGGGAGGGATTTTTGGCTCTGCAATAAGTAATGAATTATCTGACTAAGACAGACGCTGATCCTAGGTAAGCAGTTGTCACATTCTGGGCTCTGATTTTTATAGAACATTTGTAAAATTCCCCAAAATATAGACCAGGTCATTTGAATCAGGCCAAATCACGTTCCACTGACTCCCAGTGAGTAAAACCAGCCGGATTTGGCCTGATTAATAAACAAAACACTGGGTTAAATGGCTGAATGGAGAATAAATAAGTGTAACGCGCAGGTGTCACTATCAGGTATCAGTTCACCAGCGGGATGAAGGAGATGAAAACCCAGTTGATTAACTAGCACATCAAAATGAGTATCTAAAAATGTTAAGAGATTATTACCATGGCAACACAGTTTAGACAATGATCTAATAGAAAACTTCTATTGCATCTTCTTTATTTTGACATTTGTAGACAAATAGCCTAAAAGATCAGAGATTCTCTTTGCCATTTATTAAGAAGTAAAATGTAAGTCCCCTAAGTAAGTTTGAAGTGTATTTAATCAGTCAAATATAGCTCATTGCAAAAGAGACTTGGGTTTGTCAAAGCAAAATTAAATGTTATTGACAACTAGTATAAGAAAGCTTTGAACTTAGCCTCCATTCATTTGCAACGTCGGAAAGATACATTTACTTTCACTCCACAGATGAGAAGAACCTGGCTCTTGAGAAGGAGATAAGGCCCTCAGGCTCAAGCTTCTGTCATTCTCTGCATACAGTAGATCTGAGAGCTAATACAGCTCCGGGCAACTGGAAATAGATCCCCCATACCAAAGAAACATTCAACAAAGATCCATTTGAATCCGGCATATGCATGTGGAATTCTATATTTAAATCCTTAAGCACCAACCATTATTGGTGCAAATGCAGGTTATCATGGCTACACAAACCAGAAGGTGACTCAATGGTACAGACTTTGCTATTCCAAAGTATATTATTATCAGATCTATTTTGCTTACAACTAAACTATTTTTCTTGGTGCAAACTGTGTGTTGTGTCTTTGAGGAGTCAAAATAAGGAAGTCTTTTTCCAAGTTTTAAATCCCGTTTATACTTTTAGTAGAAAGAGGGAGTATTTATGCCTATGTGGTGTAGGTTGTACATACATATACAGATGGGCATGTGGTTAACACATACTGGGTAGGATGTGGGAATGATGTATATAAGGAAGTATCGATCTCGGATATATTTCTTATGTCTGCATATATACTTAAGACTTAGTCCTGCGTTGAGTGCAGGGGTCTGGACTAGATGACCTACTGAGGTCCCTTCCAGTCCTACACTTCTATGATTCTACCCACCTCTATGCAGCCATATGGATATATAAGGGATACATTATATACATAATTTCCACAGAACAAGCACTATACAGTGTAGATACAACCTCTAGATTTGATTGCATCCTTTTGCCCCACCCTTCCTGTCACTTTTCTTCTTAGATTAGCCAGCGCCTTCCTGTGGGCTTGCCCCGCGCCTAGCCCAACGGGCCTCACCCTCTCAGGTGGCCGGTGTGGGATCTCGTGCCGGGCTGTGTGTCTGGGGTCCCGGGGAAGGCAGGCACAGACGGGGGCCTGGGCAGCTCTCCCCGCCGGTGGCTCTCTGCGGGGCCGCGGCCCTGCCCCGCGGCGCACGGTCCCTAACCAGCCTCTCTCGCTCTCTCCCCACCCGTGTCCGGCAGGTCTGGTTCCAGAACCGGCGGGCCAAGTGGAAGAAGCGCAAGAAGACCACGAACGTGTTCCGGGCGCCGGGCACGCTGCTGCCCACGCCGGGCCTGCCGCAGTTCCCCTCGGCCGCCGCGGCCGCCGCCGCCGCCATGGGCGACAGCCTGTGCTCCTTCCACGCCAACGACACGCGCTGGGCCGCGGCCGCCATGCCGGGCGTGTCGCAGCTGCCGCTGCCGCCGGCGCTGGGCCGCCAGCAGGCCATGGCGCAGTCGCTGTCCCAGTGCAGCCTGGCGGCCGGGCCGCCTCCCAACTCCATGGGCCTGTCCAACAGCCTGGCGGGCTCCAACGGCGCCGGCCTGCAGTCGCACCTCTACCAGCCCGCCTTCCCCGGCATGGTGCCCGCCTCGCTGCCCGGCCCCAGCAACGTGACGGGCTCGCCGCAGCTCTGCAGCTCCCCGGACAGCAGCGACGTGTGGCGGGGAACCAGCATCGCCTCCCTCCGCCGCAAAGCGCTGGAGCACACAGTCTCCATGAGCTTCACCTAATGGCAGCGCCGCCTGCCCCCCGCGCCCGGCCGCTGCCCTCACCCCCCCCCCCCCGCCGGATCGCGTCCCTCTCCCCCCCCTCCCCGACTTACTTACCAGGGAGTCGACTCAGGATCTGAAATCAGACACCAATGGACTGGTTTGTGGGCAGAGAAACACCCCCCGCCCTCCCCTCACACGCCCCCAGCCCCCAGGCCTGTGTTCCCGGGAGGAGACACAACAACCAGGGCCTTGTGTCTTCACATCAACACACGAAAGGACTCATTGGGCATTTGGGATCTCGTTTTAATTTGTCCCTTGTCTCCCTTCCCCACCCACCCAGCCATCTATTGGGCTTTGCCAAGAGATCCATTTTGTTTTAAAGCACAACAATAACAACCCCAACAACAAATATTGCAGGGCTTTTTGGTCAGAAATTTTCCTAACGGGCAGCACTGGCTTTGGGGGGGCTGGGCAGATTAATGAAGTGATGAGAGATATCAAGAGGAAATTCAACCCATTTTGATAAAGGGTTTATAAGTGAGAGCAAAAATCAAAGTCATGTTTCCTTTTGTAAAAAGTGGGGGGGGGGGAAGCACTTCCCTTTTCTGGATCTTTGATTTCTTGATCGATTTAGTTGCAAACCTGTCACCTTTTTTATTTTTATTTTGTTGCTATTGTCTCTATTGCATCTTCTGCTGTTGCCACTGGCCCTTGCAACTCAGCGGCAAGGGCCTGGTGCACATGGACAGTCTCTCTCGCCAACCCTGCCAAACTTTGTACAGAGAACACAATCAGCTCTTTTCTGCATGTGCGGGTCCAATCCAATCCCGGAGAACAGATGCTCTTTGGAAGAATGAACAAACAATGTGAAATAGGATGTTTTGTGTAGATAAAGCATTCTTGTTACATACTGGTCGGTTTGTGATCTGTTTTAACTTATTGTCTGTGCTTATTTATTGAATTTTGGGTTTCTTAATAAATGTTTGAGCTAATATAAAGCATATTATTTGACTTTTCCGGACAAGTTTATAACAAGTTAATGTAAATGGATAAATAAAATCATTTTCAGTATGTGATATGAAGAATTATGGGTTTTGGTGTGGCGTGTGAGATAAAAGCGGTCTCTTAACCCACAGGAAAAAAAAAGATCCCCGTTAATTTAAAATTCAATGATTTTGGGAATGATTTGCTTGCTTGAACTTTGCATTGAAGTATTTCATTTATTACAATTTTAATACTTCATGATTAATAAACTTTTGTTGATCTTTGTGAGTAATTGACATTTCAACTCCAAGAAACGGAAAGTTACGTTACAAATAACACAGTGGGGGCTGGGGGAGGTGGGGGGGTGGGAGAGAGAGAGAGAGAGACGAGAAGTAAGCGACAAGGTGTGCTAAAGCCCGATTGGTATGAGAGCCTAGGATGGGAAGATGTGAGCCAGCGCCAAGGACACACAAACCCAATGCCTATGTGCATGGGACAGGGCACGAAATTACGACATTAACAGGTCTCAGACCCAGAGAGCAAGACACTTTCTTACTGATCCGTTTCAGATAATGTGTGTTGGGGCCACATAGGGTTAAGTAGAATAAATAGTTAAGCACGGAGCGAATCCTGCAACCAGCGCGAAGACGGGAGGTTTGCCCGTGGGTAGAACGTGCCACATCCTTTGATTTTCAGACAAAAAGGAATTAATAGTTTCGACAGCCAAATAAAACGGCTAATGTGGGCACGAGTCTTGGGGTTCGGTGAAGGGATGGCTGGACGGTGGTGGCGGGTGTCACCTCCCCCGGCCGGAAAAGGTTGTAGGAAGGAGAAATGAAATTGGAGGCGAGATCTTCTTGCCACACGTGAAAGGAGTGCACTCCTGGCACTTGGCTAATCGCACGGAAGAGAAACCGCGCCATTTACTTCTGTGCAAACTTTGACTTAGGAAAAGTACAGGATGTTGTCAAGCATCATACAGTGATTTTTTAAATGTGATTCACTACGATCGTTTCCTCCTGTACATCAATTACACACCTCTTAATTACACACCGGAGAGTGCCCAACGCATAGTCAGCCGCAGAAGGGTCCTTGCTTGCTCCAAAGTGCATATTACACATGTATATTTAATTTAAAAGAGAAATAAAAGGAGGATAAATTACTGACGCTCCAGAGCAGGAGTGAGTCTACTGGAGGGACACAGGGCAACGGCCCCGCGCCCCGTGGCAGAATCTTGCTACCCTAGATGTCAAGCCAGTTAAGCTATCACATCTGAGTGGTGGCTCTCCAGGGCACAACATGCGCAACATGTTACTCGCGTGTTTCGCCGTGATCAACGTTCACATACGGTACTAGGGCCTGGGGTAAACCTGAGCAAACGGAACACGCTGCGCCATCGGTGTCCTACAGCATCCCCCAGCCTTAGGCAAGAGACTTGTCCTCCATTGGTCACCCCACATCGTAATGTCCTAAGAGCGCCACTGCCCTCGGGCAGCGATTACACGCCAAGATGTGATGGAGTTTTCTCCTCCTTTTAAATGGGCTTTTTCAATTATAAAGAATCTTTTGCGTTGAAGTCCTGCTCCAGTGCAGTCAGTGGGAGTTTTGCCACTCACAGTCGGAGCAGGATGTGGCCAGGCCCTTGGCATTTCTGATTAATTAGGCTTATCAAGATGAAAATCCAGACGTAGTGGATATCGAAGAATGCTTTTTAATAAGAGCTCGGTAGCCTCAGGCAGTATCGCCATAGGCGCCCTTTTCTGGATTAAAAGCGGGTGGTTGGGCATGCTCAACACAGTACAGTACTTGATCGTTTTGTTTTTGCCACATCCCAGCACCTACCAGTCTTTGGCCTTTAATTCTCACCTGCATGTCTCAACGTCCATTTAGGAGATCAGTGTAAACCTCACGCCGTTTCTTCCAAAGTGCATGGAAGGTTGTTTACAAGCATGTTAATTTTACAGCTTCTTTATACTGCTGTAAGCAAGACAGCTTTATGATGTAGGAATCAGGAATGTAATAAAATGTTCTATACAAGATCTCCAAAAATATGTGCTTTTTAATGGGATGAGAAAATGTGTTCTCCAGCTTGGAGGGAGGGGGCGAGAAGACACAATCCAAAAGGTCCAACTCTTGCCACTAATGGAAAATTACAAATCTGTGGCAGATGTCTTACAAAGATCCTTCCATTTAATCTTTCTGAAATATAAACCGTTTTCTCCATATTCTAATGAAAACGTTGTTCTAGATATGACCCAAGCTTTTTGTCCTTATCCAATTTTGATATAATATTTGTTTCCATGGCAATAGATCTTCATGTTATGAGTCCTGAAGATTTTTGAAGTTATATATACAGATAGCACTAGCTGAAGCTTTGCAACATAAAATGTTTAAGATGATGTACTTACATATTTAACAGGGATGAAAAGAAGGGAAGTGCAAATTTCAGTCATACAGTTTACAGGCTGCAAGTGAGTGATTTTATTCCCAGACATCTCTCACACTTGATATTGAAATATAAAAATTAAACAACATGACCATTTTTACATACCACCAGCAACAACCTTGCTTCATTCAAATGAACTCACAGGTGCTGGAACTACGGGTGCTGGGGGTGCTGCCGCACCACCTGGCTTGAAGTAGCAATAACAACCCAAATACATGGCTTCTACCTCCAGCATCCCCACTATAAAAATTCTTCCAGCACCACTGAATAAAATGGTCAGAAAAGTGACTGAATTCTATACATATAGAACAGGAACATTTATGATGAATAATAATTAGTTTATTATATACTAAGTAGCTAATACAGCATATTGGGGATTGTACAAACTAGTCTTATTTGCCCACCTTAAATGTGATTTAGCTTTGATCAGTCAGTCATCCACCGAGGCTCTTAACAGATTCAGATATTCAGTTATGGATTCATTTCCATACTAGGGTACATCTAAGCAGGTTTACTTCCCTTTATATAACAGCACATCTAATGTCTAAGGTACGTATATACATACTGTTAATGCAGCTGAATCTTTCATTTACTTTTTTGATTAAATGCTTTGACAGTGTCTTCCACCCCTCAAATCCAACTGGAAGGCAGAACTGGCTCTACTGGAGATTGTATCTACTGAGCAATAATTAACAGTTGAGGAAGTTTGGGCAAGTTATAGTATCTGGTAACATGTAGTACAGTCTATTATTGCTCTAGCAGCAATGATCCCTGCTCCTGGAAAAGAAAATGTGTTTTAATTTGTGTTGTGGACTTTAAATTTTCATTTTCAGAATAAAAAACTCAGAACATGAAAATGTATCTTACAGTAATGGAGGTATGGCAGTTAACCTGTCAGCTGAAAGTATGTAACCTTCCTCTTCTCCTTTTCATGACAAAGGTAATCTCATCTGAGGGCATTTATGTGAAGAAATAACAGCATGGCACGGTGAAACCACTGGCTCATTAATCCTGGCATCTACTTCCTACAGGGTTTCTTGATTAGTTAGATTCATTCATAGGGTATTTCTGAGTTTTTGATTTGTCACCATTGGCTAGGTTCACTGAGTTCAGGCTAAATTGAGCCAGAAGCAATGTTTATTAGTAATTTTGTAATACAGACTACCCTAATAATTCAGCACAAATATCTCATCTGAAACATATCAGTTCGCCCTAACACCTAATGCAGGTTGCAGCTGTGTTCAGTGGGAATTGAAAGAACACAAGTGATTGGGCATGTATTTTCTAAATTATTAATATGAGGGCTAATAGCTAACCCATCTTCATTTCCAATGCAGGAATTAAGATCCAGTTTTAAAAAAGTAAGCACTGACATAAAGGGGATCACCTCCTGTTTGGCATTGACTCAAATCAGTTCAGATCCATCAGTACAGCAAATGTGACCGATTTAGCATTTCAGCTTTTCTGAAGAAAACAAAAAAAGAAGATAGGAAAAACAAAAACCTCTTTGTTGTCTAATGTGTCATAAACATGAAAAATGTAAAACACATACAATATTGTAAAAGGAATAGAAAGAGAAATCTCAATGAGCTATACCTTTGCAATGTCACAGATCTCTCAATCTGTTCAACAGCTATGATGAAATTACATTTGAAATATATAAAAAGAGAGAACAAATGAAGGCCCTGATTCTGCAAATATTGAAACATCTGCTTAACTATAAGTATTTGAGTAGTCCCATTGATCTACGTAAGTGGCTGCTGGATGGGGACCCAAGGGAAGGTCTGCTCACAAACTTATACACCCCTTTCACCAATCCAGTTTCCTAAAATGACCACATCTAGCCAATTTTATTCTGAAATAAGAATGTTGACACACAGACTTGCATGGAAATAACACAGATTATAGTTTGGATATTTCGCTGCATGTTTGTGTGTAGCCAGCCTGTACTATAGATAAAATCCAGGGTCCAAATGCTAATTGATCAAAGGCACACACCAGAAAACCCACAGAGAAAACCAATGACTGTAGAGGCACTATTCCTATGAGTAAGGTGAGCAGGATTTAGTCAGTGCAGCAAACAGCGGCTCCCTGGGGCACACACCGCCTATTGTTCAGGAGAGTGGTTCTACCACAGATTAAAAACTGGGGCAGAGGGTGGAGACCATTGCATTAATTTTGAACCAAACTGAAGGGGATATCAACAGGAGAATAGCAATAGGAATCAGAGGAGCTGAACAGGCCCAGAATCTGCTGAAGAGGTCAATGAGCATGATCCATGAGTGGATAAATCATTATTATTTTATGTAGATAGTGATCAGAGTGTGCACTGACACCCCCAGCTTTGCATTGGCCCCACTCACAAGTCTTGGTGAAGTTTACTTCTTCTCCTAGCAGGAATAGATTGCATGGGGGAGGTCTTCAGGCTGCTCACAGCTAAAGCATGGCACATACAATGGCTCCTTTGACTTCCACCTGGGATATTGTATAACAGTATGAGTGGGAGGTTGCTGCTCTTATTTGCCAGTCAATTGTCTCTGCCTCAGGCCATATTTGATGTTTAAAAGTGTTGTTTTCCTTTTATATTGCTTCTTTCAGCAACACTTGTGCTCAAAAAAATAATTCAGAATGAAAGCAATGCTT